CACCCACAGAAAAAAAAAAAAAAAAAAGAGAACCCCAGCATCAGTAGGCCATTGTGACCCCTTCGTTTTCCATCTGTGCAGGTTTGTTCCATAAGCAGCATACATCATGAGATTTCTCATCAATGACAACTTCCTTGACATTCACTCATGGACAAAAAGTCACCAGAATCAGAGACCAACTATCACCTTATAAAAGTGATCACAAAACTTTAGGCCAAAGAAACATTTCCTTGTAATTCCTTCTACTGATTCAACACATTTCCCCACTCCTTCAGTTAGCCAGAGTGCAGAGAGCTCAAAAAGCTATAAAAATGAAGAAGCAATATAATTAAATAAACAATAGCAGTAAATGTAAATTGTTGATCAGCTGTTTATACTTACGGAGGCATAACACCTTTTGGAAGTCCTAGTGCATTGACAGATACAGGAGGTGGCTGGGATGGTAACATGGAGCTGAGGAATGCTGCTGGTGACTGATTGGAGGTAGAGAATCTAGCAGTTGGAGAGAGACTGTGGGAAGGTGAGGGAACTGAGGAAGGGAGAAGAGGAGGAGGGGGTGGGGGAAGTGGGAAGGAATCAGAAACTGAAAATGTTGCAGTTGGGCTAAACACTGGTGGAGGTGGGGGAGGGGGAGAAGAGGAAGAAGGAGACCACATGTACTCCCCTTCTGGAGCAAACGGCTGGGAGAAAGGTGGAACAGGTGCTCTGCCAAATTGTTTCTGGGAGGCAGTTGGCGACATAGGGGATGGAAGGCTAGATGTAGAAGATCCAGATGAAGGAGTTACATAACCTGATGCAGGGCTGATGTTCTGAGCAGCAATGAACTGTTTAGGCCGGGCATAATTGAAAGTGCTGGATGGCTGCATGGTGGGGGAAGTGTGGGAGTTGAGAATGCTCATTTGTACAGGAGACTGGCTGGACACCAGCTCCTGGAAAGAAGGGGGAGGAGGAAAAGGAGGAGATGGGGGAGGGTTTTGATGTTGCTGGTGGTGATGGTGCCGATGACCACTTTCTTGTTCCAGACGAATTTGGTTCTGTAGTTGTTGTAATTTTAATGGGTCCCTGCATGAGAAGAAAGAAAGTTAATCAGAGGGGTAGTGATGGAAGAGGAGAGGATTAAAATAAAGAGACATATTCATTATCTAGACACTATTTTGTCTTCTGGACTTTTAGAAGCTAAAGGGAATCAGAGCTATTTGCATATCAAAGACAATTCCATTGCCAACAAGGTCACTGATAGAACACACATTAGATACTAAACTGCCACAACATTTATTTGTAACTAAAGGACCATTTGTAAGCTCTCATAGAATCATAGGGCTGGAAGAGACACCTGGAGGTCACCAGAGTTCTACCTCCTGCTAAAATCAGGACCAATACCAACTAAATTATCTCAGCCAGGGCTTCTCAACCTGAGACTTAAAAACCTCTAGGGATGGAGATTCCACCAACTCCCTAGGTAACCCATTCCACTGCTTCACCATCCTCTTAGTAAAATAGTTTTTCCCTAATATCCAACCTGGACCTCCCCCACTGCAATGTAAGACTATTGCTCCTTTTTCTGCCATCTGTCACTACCAAGAACAGCCTTTCTTCATTCTCTTTGGGACCTCCCTTCAAGTAGTTAAAGGCTGCTCTCAAATCCCCTCTCTTCTCTCCTGAAGACTAAACAAGCCCAAATCCCTCAGCCACTCCTTGCAAGTCATATGCTCCAGCCCCCTAATCATTTTTGTTTCCCTCCACTGGACTTTCTCCAATGTGTCCACATCCTTTTTGTAGTGAGTGGGAGAGGGGGCAGAATTGGATACAATACTCCAGATATGGTTTCACCAGTGCCAAATAAAGGGGAATAATCACTTCTCTAGATTTGCTGGCAATTCTCCTCCTAATGCACCCTATTATGCCATGAGTCTTCTTGGCTACAAGTGCACACTGCTGACTTATATCCAGCTTCTCATCCACTCTAATACACAGGTCCTTTTCTCCTAAACTGCTGCTTAGCCAGTCAGTCTCCAGCTTGTAACAGTGCTTGGGATTCTTCCGTTCCAAGTGCAGGACTCTCAACAAGTTTCTTTTGGCCCAGTCCTCCAATTTATCTAGGTCGCTCGGGACCTTATCCCTACCCTCCAGTGTATCTACCCCTCCCCCAACTTAGTGTCATCTGTGAACTTGCTGAGGGTTCAATTCAGCCCTCATCCAGGTCATTAATAAAGATGTTGAATAATTAATAAAGCCATGAATTTCTGCTAGGATGAAAAACTTCAATGAAGTTGGGTGATTTGGTTTGGACACTTATTTAAAGCTTTTCCCAACTGATTCAAACCTTTTTGGTCTGGAGATGGCAGATTTCACATAGTTCACCATTTCATCAGACCTAGAAATACTGCAAGCAAAGTCCTTTTTGTGATCTTCTCAGTATTCTTATTTTCAGCTGACACCACAATAGAAGTTAAAACCCTTTTGAATTTTTAAAAATGTGTTATTTTTATTTGGGTGCACAGTGGGTCATTCATATTTGAACTTAAGATACTAGTTGCAAGAGAAGGTCACTTTTAAAAAAAAAAAAAAACCTGGACTCAATTCTATCATAGTATTCAAATAGCTAAGCAACTGCAGCCACAATCAGGTTGCTAGACATCTAAATGCCCTAGCTTGTGCCTGTTGTTAATCATGTGCCATTCCTGTGAAGTGACGTACATTTGACAGCTGTCGAGCATGCCCCCACATTTGTGAGAGAGTAAATAAGACTTCCCCCTACAATTTTCTACACCCTAGGAAAAGGTGAACTAAGCAGTATACCAGGAAACCACAAATTTAAGCTCCTGCTTTTCCACTGACAGTTGATAATGTATCTGTACTCTTTATAACTTTTATTCTTAACCAAGCTTCATAACCCTACCATACCAGAAGGCAGCTGAGGAACTGAATACAGCTCTAGGGCTCTGCTGATTGGAACCACAGTATCACAATAACTGGAGATTGGCTTATTTACAATAAATATACATTCACATAACTGTAAAGCCGGTAGGTCTGACATTCAGAAGGGCGAGCACCCAGAACTCCCAATGAAGTCGATAGGCACTACAGACTCACAACACTGATGACAATCAGATCCTGTACAATTTTTGCTAATTGTACAATTGCTTGAATGGCCATTTACACATTGCTGCTTTCTTATACATTTCTCCTTCAATATGCACTTGTATAACAAAAAATCTTGAGACTAAGGACCATTAAGTATTCTGAAAATCTCCTGTAAAAGCCCTTTTGCTTTAGCAGGACTAAAACCTCAAAAAGGCCCCTATCAAAGCAGAGATCAAACTTTGCTGTGTGTGGTCTTTATTCTAAAACTCATCTATCTTACTAGCTCAACAATTCTCTTGTTGCAACTGAGAACTGTAACTGTCTCAAAACTCCAGATGTTTTTGTGGTTTTATGTGCACATGCACCTTTTCAGTACATTTCACATAGAAATACTTTACATTATTATACACAGTGTGTCATTTATCATATAAATTAGATCACTATTTAACCATAGATTTTAGTTTAGAATCTACTGAATATATGGAGTATGTATGTATGACAAACATCATAATGCATGCATACTTGTAGTATTATAAAGGATCATGATGTCATAGTTATATTTGTAACCTACTTTCCATTGTAAGATTCATTTTGATACCACTGCTCCCCAAAGTACTCTGAAAATATTTTCTGCCTGAAATTTCACATGTGGTATATAGAAAAGGAGACTGACTATAATGATGGGGACAGAAGTTTAAGATTAATCACACACAAGGTATCTTGAGATACAGTACTAAAAAAAGCCAATGTTTTGAAGGATCTATTTTGTTAAACCATATCACATAGATAGCTTGGTCTAGAAATGAGAGCTACCCCCCTACCTACAATACATAACTTTATTCATCAGTAGCAGATTAGCTCTTTATCACCACTTTTTTTGCTTACTTGGGTGAAACATTTTGAATTATTCACTACAGATTTCTGAATCTTTTATTCATTTTTGAATGTTGATCATACAATTTCCAAATCCTCCTGAGTTCAGATTGCTTTGATGTTAGTATTGGGTTAAGGCTGACCTTTAGTTTTTTATTGCATGCTTTAATGTCCCTTACCCTGAAAGAAGTACTGCTTGAGCTACTTTTCACTGAGGCTTTCTTTTTAGCCCATGTGGTTATCTGATCAATGGCAGAAGTCCAGCAGCAATATCAGAACCATCTTGTCTAGATAAGTTAAAAAACATTTTAACTGGTAGTTTTCTTTAAGTTTGTCCCTTCCGAATTGTGCCTTTATTTTAACTGTTCTTGGGCACATTGTCTAATGACCAGAGAGGTGTTAAAATGTATTTTTACTTTCATAACAATTTTACCTCTTTGCTCATCCTTTTTCTGTATTATAGTGAGGTCAAAAAAGTTAATGAAATATATGTTATGCCAGGTATAGAAGTTTAACACACTCAGACACAGAGACTTTCATCCAGCATGAGCCATAACAAAAGGTATACTGTACTATGTTGAGACTTTTCTGTTTTACATGATAGCCATGTGTTCTTGTTTCAAACAGTGGCATAACATAGCAGTAACCATTTAGGATCTTATCAATTCTAATTACTATCTGTTTTAGAACTGCTGCTAAATGATGCAGCTGTATCAGTGTTAGTAATCATGGAAGTGTAGCCCATGAGTAGGCTTTAAATCCAGAGTGTCATGAAAAGCTGGATTTGAGTAAAGCAAGCCCCTACTCTGAGCAGGTTTTCGTGTCATAATGGTAAAAATGTTTTATGCATCTTTGCAGCTATTCTGTCATTGTAAGATACTAATTTTTCTAGTGCTAAATGCATCCAACTGCAATGTCACTGTGATCCAGCATTTTAAAAAAAATCCCCATTATTGCTATTACACTGGTGGTAATGATGTTGGGACTGTGAGGGTGGAGAGGGGCACTGGGATTTAACACTGTTGCACCACATCATCTGCTCATAGCAAATCTAGACACAGTAGTTAAAAATACTCCCCCCATGGCCAATCTGTACCAGTATTTCTTTCATTATTAGCATAAATAGTAAGTAACTATGGAGATAAAGAAAAAATTCAGGGACTCGAACCCCCCCCCAATTAAGTTACAACAATATGGCCTTGTCTCTGCCAATTAAAGTGTAATCCAGGGTGATAGACAAGCACACATTCATAGCTCCTGTCATATTTATTTTGTATCTTCTTTAAAAACAGTGAAAAAAATCCCATAACATTTTCACATTCTTATTTTTGATTACTTATTTGAGGTTTATCTGAAATTTGAACTAACCTTTACAAAAACTGGGGAAAAAAACAGAAGTAACTATGAAATAATCACATTGGAGGTGGAGGGGAAATGGAGATCCATCAAGTTATTTGAACTCAGACATGACCATTTACAAAGGAATTTCAACAGTTTTAATCTGATATTTGTCAGTTATTTCCTGCCTAATGTTGGACATTCTTGCTATAGATTTGCACGTGTATAGATCTCTGCCTATGCTCTAACAGCTATGATAACAGAGTTAAAGATAACATGAAAAAAACAAGACCTATAGGTCATAGAAAAAAACCACTTATTTATACACACACAGATTCCCACTGTAAAAATGAGTAGTCATATATTCATATGAACAAGGGCACAAGTCTTATTAACAATAGGGGAAATCTTCAATACATTATAAAGGTTATTCAGTCCTTAATGTGAATGTGTATAATTACTAACCTCCCTTCCCACAATACTTACTTTTTACTAATTTACTGTAGACATGGTGGATTAATGTTATAACTCTTCTATATAGCAAATATAAACTAATGTTCTATTCTATAGGAGCTAGCGTCTGCTGTATAGATCTTAAGCTATTTCTACACTCGGAAGGTTTGGTGACAAAAGTGCTCTCAACATGCAAAAGTCACCAAGAGAGAAAACCCGTCAAACTGGTTTTTTCTGCCTCCCACTGTCAACAGTTTATGGCCACAATGCTAGCATTCTGTCAACAGATAGAGCAAAGCAATGCATCCCACAGC